GGGCTCCTCGATGGAGATGACGGTCTGGCCAGAGGGAGAAGGCAGACCATGCTTTCTTCTTTTTCTTAATACTGGAGAATTGAACCCAGTGGTTCTCCAGCACTGAACTACATCCCCAGCCTTTTTTGTGTTTTTTTAATTTTGAGACAGAGTCTCTTTAAGTTTCCTGGGAAGAAATGAACTTTCAGTCCTCCTGCCCCAGCTTCTCTCAGTATTGGAATTACAAGCTTGTGCCATGTGCCAACATTATCACTAGTTTAAATTTTTAAAAATTTATTGTAGGACCAGGGATATAGCTCAGCAGCACAGCGCCAGCCTGGCAAGCACAAAAGTCCTGAGTTTGATTGCCGGTACCAAAAAGATTTACTGTAAAATATTACACGTTTTTGCTAGTAGTAGTCTCCTACACCTAATGTTTATCAAGACTGTTGATGACATCAATTTCTCTTGTGCTTGATTTAATGTCATATTGATTTTTTCATCATGGCCCTAGAAGCAATAAGTTACAACATTTAAAATATGCCAGGCATGGTGGCACACCATGGCAGGAGGATTGCCATGAGTTCAAGACCAGCCTGAATTATAAAGAATTAGAAATATTTGTATTTGCCCTGCTCGATAAGTGCCTTGGGCCTGAGATAAGCTGTAAAGGCAATGCAGTTTTTCTAACGTGCATCAATTAGGTTTGCTTTGTCTATAAAATAAAATACTTCTGCCTAATTATAGTTTTGAGGAATATAAGAATAAGAAATGCCTTACTTTTTTTTTTTTTTTGATACTGGGAGTCGAACTCAGGACTTCATGCTTGCCAGGCAGGCACTGTGGTGCTGCACTATATCCCTGGCCCAAGAATCAGAAATGATAGTTGTATTTTCTGAAAGAAAATTTTGACAAGCATGGTGGTGCACACCTGTAATCCCAGCACTTAGGAGCCTGAAGTAGGAAGATGACCATGAGTTTAAGGCCAACGTGCTCTACACAGTGAGTTCAAGCCCAGCCTGGACTACATAGACCTTATCTCAAAAAACCAAATTAAAAAAAAAAAAAAAAAAAAAAACGTTTTGGGCTATTATCTATTTGTGTTTTCTTTGTCAGAGAATCTTTTTCGTCTGTACTCTGAATAACTAGTTTGAAGGTAATGATACGCAATGTATTAACTATTGTTATCCTCTTGTTTTGTTAGGAAATTTCTTTTTTTTTTTTT